TCAGCATACTTCATTCCGGTTGTGACCACATATATTCAGGAGATTGTTAGGTTGCATGGCGTGCCTGTCTCTATTATATCAAATAGAGGCCCTCCGTTTACTTCGCAGTTTTAGAGAGCAGTACAAAGTGAGTTGGGGACCCGTGTAGAGCTCAGCACAGCCTTTCATCCGCAGACCGACAGGCAGTCGGAGCAGACAGTTCAAATTTTGGAGGATATGCTCAGAGCATATGTGATTGACTTCGGAGGGAAGTGGGACCGATTCTTGCCTTTGGCCAAGTTCTCTCTCAACAACAGTTATCAGTTCAACATCGAGATGGCTCCATTTGACATTTTATATGGTCGGCGATGTTGTTCACCCATCGGATGGTTTGATCCCGACGAGGATACATTATATGGTACTAATTTGGTAAAGGATGCCTTGGAAAAAGAAGTTGATCCAGGAGCGACTTCGCACAGCACAGTCCATACAGAAGAGTTACGTGGATCATAAGGCGCGTGATTTATCTCTTTTGGTGGGCGAGAAGGTTTCCTTGAAGGTCTCGCTGATGAAGGAGATCATGAGGTTCGGAAAGAAGGGCAAGTTAAGCCCAAGGTTTATAGGTCCGTTCGAGGTGTTAAGACAAGTTGGGAGGTTTCTTATGAGCTTGATTTGCCTCCCAGTCTATCAGGAGTTCATCCAGTTTTTCACGTATCTATGCTCCGGAGGTGTCATGATGACAGGTCGCATGTGTTGGACTACAGCACGATTCAGTTAGATGATAGCCTGGGTTATGAGGAGGAGTCAGTTTCCATTGCTTTAAGTATGTTTCGGCGCGTTCGGAGTAAGTTGGAAGAACTTGCATTTCATAAGTTGATTTAATTTGGTTTGGGTTGTGATTCTTAATTTACGGACTTGTTGTTATGTTTGGGCGAGGCCTCGAAGGCCTCGAATGCAATCCGAGAGATGCACGGATTGAACTGGGACTCAAAAAGGGCTGCTGGTGCACCAGTTCTGGTGTGCCCGCACCTGCGAGCTTTTGGCCGCAGAAGAGACCTGGGAGCAGTTGGCCAGTGGTCCGCATAAGTGAAAGGGAGTGCGCAGAAGCGAACTCGCTTTTGCTTTGAGGAGCTGTAGGTGCGAGAAGGCCGCAGGTGCGCTTCCCTGATCGCAGAAGCAGGGTCACGTCCGCAGAAGCGACCAGCGCTGGGCCTGGGGAATTCTGTAGAAGCAGACCTAGTTTCGCAGAAGCGAGACCGCAGATGTGTCCCAGTAATCGCAGGTGCAAAATCGCTGGAGGCAGAATGGTCCATTTAATGCGGACTTAAGCTATTTTGGCTCACTTTCTTTCATCTCTTGGGCGATTTTGGAGCTCTTGAGAGGGGTTTTCACCTAGCACTTTGAGGTAAGTAATTTCTATACAATATGAGTTAAATACATAGATTATGGGTAGGTTTTATCATGTAAAAATTGTGAAAATCATGGGTTTAGGTGAAAAATCTAGGTTTTGATAAAAATGGGATTTAACCACGAAATTGGTTATGTAATTGCGTGAAAACTATATATTTGAGTTCGTGAGGTTATAGGTAATAACTTTCTTTGAAAATTTCTGGAATCCGGACTCGTCGGGGGTGAATTTTAGGAATCTTCCAATTTGGGTTGGGTAATTGCTCTAATAGTTAAATTATGAACTTTTGAACATGTATTGATTAATTTATATAACATTTGACTAGTTTCGGGTCGTTTGGCAACTTGTTGAAGATTTAAAGCATTTTTGTGGATCGGGAGTGAGCTTGAGAACGAGGTAAGTCTCTTGCCTAACCTTGTAAGAGGGAACCCATCCCCTTAGGCGTATTTTGTTGTGAATTATATGGGTGGGGAGCTACGTACGCACTACGTACTCACCATGCTTTGTTTGCTCTATTATGTTGGTCATACATATTAATTGTCTTAACTAGAGCTGAGATTTAAGGATTTCAAGATTTAAAGTGTCCCGTTTAAATTTCTTATGTGTGGGGAAGAATGAAAGAATTTTATAATAACTTTGAGAAATCTATGTCCACTCGCGTCGCAAGTATTTCTGCGAGTGAGGTAAATGTCCTCCACTCTCTTTGGAGCGGGTCATTCGCCTCGGCAGGTTAATAGATGCATCTATAGTTCGTTCTGCTCGACCCTCGGTAGTGCACACAGTATATACATATATTTTGGATCGGGTCATACGACCTCGGCATAAATCGTGCATAATAATACTTGGAGCCCAATCTTCTTGATATGATTTTATTGGCTTGAGAGGTTAAAATTATTTAAATGACGAAAATTGACTTGGGATTTATTATTAGTGAAAGAAATATTTATTTATCACTTGTTATGGAGATTTATGGTTGTTTACATAACTCATGCTTATTTTGAATTTCGGTATTTATTGTTAGCCCATAGTAAGTGTTGAAGTCGACCCCTCGCCACCACTTCTTCGAGGTTACTAGGTACATGTTGTTTATGTACTCACGCTACACTTCTGCACTAACCGTGCACGATCTGAGGCAGGTGCATCTAGACATCATCCCAGCGTGCACTCTTGATACATCGAGACTTAGCGGTGAGCTTCTTTCCGAGCCGTTCTGCAGCACCTGAAGTCTTTCTATTGTATTTACTTTCTGTCTACTTTATTTCATACAGTAGTTTAGTGATTTGTGTATTCTACTAGTAGCTCATACACTTGTGATACCAGGTCCTTGAATTTTGCTAGTACTTAATGTTTTTTTAGTACATATTTCACTACACTTGATCTTACAATTTGTTACGTTTTATTTTATTAAATTTCCTCATCTATTACTTATGTAATAATTAAAAATCAACTATTTCAAAAATGTTAAGAGAGTAGATACATGGTTAGTTCATTGTTGGCTTGCCTAACGGTGACGTTGGGCGCCATCACAACCTATAGGAAATTGGGTCGTGACAATTATGGAGTAGTTTGCCTTAGGGTTTGACGGATATGGTGTTTTGATAAATATTTGCGGATTTTAACTCTAGTTCTTACTTGAATTCGTTTATAGAATTTTGAATTATTGCAACTTTATTCACCAATTTATTTAATCGAAAGAGGAATATTCTGATGATTATCTTTGCATTATTTTATTTGGTTTAACACAGTGATTCTCCTAAGTAATCGAAAGAGCTTGTTGAATTGTTGATTAAATCAAGTTAGGAGAATATTTGAGAGACATTTTCCTAAAGACTAATCCATTAATGCATGATTGCATACTTTCACAGTGCGTATATTAGTTCACCTAGTAGAGTTAAGATTTAATCGAGAGAGGAGTCTTGACTACACGTTTGAACTAATCATCGAGTGAATTCATGAGAATCTTTAGAACAATAGAGTGAATTAAACTAGAGTTAAATCCCAAATAGCTATCTTGCACCTATCTTATCACAACCCTTATTCCTCACATTGATAAGAAACCAACTCTGCTAATCTCTAGTTCCGTGCAGTCAATTATCAATTGCTTAACTTTAGTAGTTAATCGTAGTTCGTAATCAATCCAAATCAAGTTTTGATCATCCTGAATATCCGTTAAACCAGAAATTACTAGAGCATTGTTTAAATCTAATCCATATGGAGACGAAAATTAAATTATACTATCTTTGGCTAGCGAGCATCAATTTCATGTTGTGTTTTGCGATCGCTAAATTTTGGCGTTGTTGCTAAGGATTGGCAATCAATAGTGTTCAAAATAGTTTTTGGTGCTAATTAAGGAATTTATTTTATTTTATTCTTCACGGGTTTCTCTTTCGTGTGTAGGCAACAGGTTGACTTATCTAGTGTATGACTCAATCTTCTTCAAAGGAAGTACTACCCTACAAACCGGAGTTGGAAAAACACCTGCGACAACTGAGGAAAGAGAAAGATCTCATCAGAAAGTTCTTGGGGCAACCTTCAAACCAAGAACACATGGCTAATAACGATAACGATGGGGTAGATTTAGCTGCAAGATAGGCAGCAAAACATAGAGAAGAAGTTGCATGAAGAGCAGCTGAGGCAGCCCGTAGTACTGCTGATAAGACCGTCAAAGATTATGGGGGTCAAATATTCAATCTAAATCGACCCTTGGTTGAACACTAGTTCGAGAAAGCGATACCCAGGCCTAACAGAGCATTGGGTGATTATGCTAGACCAGTCTACAATCAAGGACAGTCCAGTGTCAGACCTCCACCAGTAGCAGCAAATAATTTTGAGTTGAAGCATGGCTTGCTTCAAACTATCCAGAACAAATGTGTCTTTAGAGGGAAGGTGAATGAAGATCCTTACACTCACTTAATGGATTTTGAGGAAATTATGAACACCTTCCAGTACAACGGAGTGTCAAAAGATGCAGTATACTTAAGGGCATTCCCCTTTTCACTGAAGGATGATGCAAAGCAATGGCTTCATAGCTTACCAACAGGGTCGATCAGGACATGGGAATATATGACAAAAACGTTTCTTGACAAATACTTCTCAGCTGCAAAAACAGTGAAATTCAGAAGAGAAATTCACAACTTCTGCTAGACGGACACTGAAACAGTTTTCGAAGCTTGGTAAAGATTCAAGGAGATAGTGAGGAAATGTCAACATAATGGGATTGAATTGTGGATGAAACTCCGTGACTTTTGAGATGGACTGACACCTCCCTCACGGCGGACTCTGAACACTGCAGTTTGAGGTCCTTTAATGAAGAAGACTCTTGGGGAGATTGTGGCAATTCTTGATGAGCTCTCTGAAGATGCTAACTAGTGGCCTGCTGTGAATAATGATAGAAGATTCTAACATATCAGTACAAGCCCAGCTAGACGTCATGGCCAAAGAGATAAGAAAGTTGACCTTAGCCAAGGTCCAGAGCCAACCATCATCAATTTGTGATTTCTATGGAATGGGTCATCCAACGCTTGAGTGTCAAGCCTCCACTGCAGATTAAGTGGTAAATGTTTTGGGAAGCTTTGACAGAGGCAACTACCATAGTGGTAATAATTTTAACTCTATGGGACAGAGGCACCCAGGCTTTTCTTGGAGTTTACCAAGTGGTAGCCTGAACTCATGCCAGCGGAATAATATGAGACCCCAGGGACAAGGAGCTCCAGGATTTCAGAATCAGCAGAGGCAGCAATACCATCCTCTACAGTCTAATCAGTCTAGCATGGAATATCTAATGAAAGATCTCATTATTAAAACGGATGAGAGATTGGAAACTCACGGTGCATCTATTCGAAACTTAGAGAGGCAAGTGGGGCAGATTGCTAGTCTGTCATCTGAGAGGTCTCCAGGAACCCTCCCTACGGATACCGAAAGGAATCCAAAGGAAATAATAAATGCAGTGTTGTTGAGGAATGACAAAGTATTGCAAAATCCGTTGGTAGCAGAGAAGAGTGAGTTTACAGGAAATTAATTTAAGAATGAATGAGGGTATATATGTCTGATCTACCTTTCCCGCATAAACATAGAAGATAGGAGTTGGACAAACAATTCGGGCGCTTTCTATTAGTGCTCAAGCAGGTAAATGTGAATATACCTTTCATGGAGGTGCTTTCACAGATGCCAGCTTATGCTAAATTCTTGAAGGAGATATTGTCCAAAAAGCGAAAAGTGGAAGAGACATCGATTGTCAAGCTCACAGAGCATTGTAGTGCCATTCTGCAAAATAAGCTCCCTCAAAAATGTAGAAATCCAAGGAATTTTACTATACCTTGCTCGTTAGGAAGCACTAAATTTAAAAATTCTTTGTGTGATTCAATTGCTTCTATTATTCTTATGCCTTTGTCTATTTTCAGGAAATTAGAGGGAGATATTAGAGAAATCAGGTCGATACTTGTGTCCTTGCAGCTAGCGGATCATACCACAATCATACCTGAAGGAACAGTGGAAGATGTGCTAGTTGGGGTGGATAAATTGGTGTTCCCTATGGACTTCATTGTGGTGAACATAGAGGAGAACTGGGAGATCCCTCTGATTTTAGGAAGACCCTTCTTGGTTACGGGTACAGCAATTCTGGATATTCAGGAAAGGCAGCTCATGCTTAGAGTGGGAGAGGAAAGGCCGATCTTCAAGATGGAAGGAGAAAGGGGGTCCCAAAAGGAGCAACTTGGAGAGAGTAAAATAAATAAGTGTAGAGTGTACCTAGAAAAGGCCGAAAAGAAGCTCTCAACATGGATGTGTGCATTGGGTCGGGCATGCAAATGAGATCCTGACTTAGATTCAGACCCCAACTAGATGAATCAGGGAAGTTTCTTTTACCCCTTGCTTGTTATTTGTGTGTCATAGGGACATTCCACAATTTAAAGTGTAGGGTGGGTGATGTAAATATGTACATTTGTGTTTGTTTTCGTTTCTTTTGAAAAACAAAGTTTGACTTTTCCCGACGATGGAGTTCCTCGACTTTCTTCTTGAGGGATAAAAGTCGAAGAAGAAAAAAATATTTTATTTTTCTTAGGTAGTGTAACAATTCTCCCTTGGTTTTTCTTTGTGTCTCGGTTCTTTTTCAAGGGTTTTGCTTGAACCGGGTGTAGTTAATTTTTCTTTTATTAGGAATAGTGAAGTCATGTGATATGGTATTAATTGGAGATGACTTTTCTTGACTTTGTTATGCCTTGAGAGTAGCGAGTGCTTTAGTTGTGACACCTAGGATCAGTTCTTGACTCACGGATAGGCATCTTAAATTGTTTGATTGTGACTCAGCTTAATTTCTTTGACTAAAGAGTCGGGATAAATCTGGTCCTAAGTGAGTTGTGTGCATGTGCATGTCAGTTGATGTCTCGAACTTGCTCCGTGTGTTTGCAAAGTAAAATAATAGTTTTGTTCTTTCTAGGAAGTGATAGAGGCGTTTCTTTGTGAGCCAGATATATGATTTTACCCACCTAACTAATGTGTATCGTAGTTAGCCCCTTTGAGCCTGTAATCCTATTCCTTTGGCAACCACACTACAAGTCTGGCCCTTATTATTTGAATTGACTATCTATTTGAACCTTTTACCTCTCTTGAGCACTTGAATTTGTTATAAGCTTGTAAAAGCTAAGTAGAGGTATGATCAGGTTTTTGAGTGGAACTATTAAAAAGGAGAAAGGTGCACTGTGTGAAAAAATTGTGCCACTTGTAGGGAATTGAAAAAAGAAGAAGAGAAAATCAGAATCTAGAAAAAGAAAAAAAATTATGTCTGTATATGTTATAAAGAAAATTATTCCTTGCTAGTGGTAAATCTTGCTTTGTCTGTGCTTAAAGAAATTAAGATCTTGGTATTAATATGATGTGAAGGTTAGGATGTGGTTCAACACAAGTGTGGTTTTAAATTGTGAAATTATAAGTATTAAAGTGCTTAGGGAGGTATAGTCATTATATCCAAATGTATCCTACCCGTCCCGCAGTCTACATTACAACCAAAATAAAGTCATACTTGATCTTTGACTGAATTAGCTCAATTAGTAGAGTATTACACTACGGTAAAGTATTTGATACATTCTCTGTGGCGCATAAATTTTATTTCTGAGAGTGAGTTAATTCTGTCTATCCAGAGTTACTATTTGTTCATAAATTTTATTGTGTAGAACTACTCTCTATTGTTTGTGTGAAGGCACATGATTTGTGAATGTAAGGTAAAGTCTTTGACCTCTGTGTTAGATTAAGTGAGCAGGTTGTGAAAAATGTGTGGTGCTTTGAGTCGAGTGTTGAGGCTAGGGTGTTATGATATGGTACTTAGTTTGTTTTAAATATTCTTGGCATGATGCATTAGGGAAGTTGTTTTATGAGAAGGTCGTTTCTATGCGAAGTGTAGTTTGATTGCTCGAGGACGAGCACTGGTTAAGTGTGGGGTGTTGATGGTAGGCTAGAATCACGTGTTTTAGCCGCATTTTGCACTCTAACTACTACACTTTGAGCGTGTTTGAGCTTATATGATGGTGATTTGCACTTATTACGTGGTGTATGCTTTCTAGGAGATGATTCTGAGTTAAGAAGATGTTATGGAGCTAAATCGAATAATTTGGAGATTTGAAGTCTGAGTAAAAGCCCAAAAAATTAAATCGGGATCGCGTCCGGGGATCGTGGACCGTCGTTGCATACGAAAGTTCGAAGAAAGAGCAAGTGCTAGAGAAAAATCTACTCGTGTGTCGCATTAGGTGTGGCATTAAGCGTCGCATTAGTATAGAATTTCGTCAAAAGTTTGAGAAGTTCAGAGATTTGGAGTTTTTGGGTTTGACAAAAAAATACACTAATGCTACGCATAGCGCGTGGCATAGTGCGAGGCATTAGTACAAAATTTTTGTTAGACAAGCTAAGTTCAAAGAGTTTACAACCGAGCAAATTTCACTAATGTGACGTACCCTGCATAGCACTGTGCAATGCATGAAGTGTAAAATATTTGTAGGTTTTTCCACTTTGGCTCAAAGAGGATAGTTTTGTCTGTGTTCGTTCCTACTTGGTATAAATACACTGGAAACGCATTTTTGAAGGGACTTTTGACTTTGGAAGCTTTGGGAGAGCATTAGAGGCTACAAGAATCAGGATTACATCATCTTTCCATCAATTCAATACTGCAGTTTGGATTGAACATTAGATTGATTCTTCCTTATTCTTTAATTATATTTGTGATGACTTCCTCCAAGATTATAGAGTAGTTTGCTTTAGGGTTTGACGAATATGGTATTTTAATAAATATTTGCGGATTTTCACTCTAGTTCTTACTTGAATTCGTTTATGGAGTTTTGAATTGTTGCAACTTTATTCACCGGTTTATTTAATCGAAAGAGGAATATTTTGGTGATTATCTTTGCATTATTTTATTTTGTTTAATACATTGATTCTCTTAAGTAATTGAAAGATCTCGTTGAATTTTTTATTAAATCAAGTTAGGAGAATATTCAAGAGACGTTTTCCTAAAGACTAATCCATTAACACATGCTTGCATACTTTCACAGTGCTTATATTAGTTCACCTCGTAGAGTTAAGATTTAATCGAGAAAGGATTCTTGACTAACGTTTGAACTAATCATCGAGTGAATTTGTGAGAATCATTAGAACATTAGAGTGCATTGAACTAGAGTTAAATCCCAAATAGTTGTCTTGCACCTATCCTGTCACGACCCTTATTTCTCACATTGATAAGAAACCAACTCTGCTAATATCTAGTTCCTTGTAGCCAATTGTCAATTGCTTAACTTTTGTAGTTAATCGTAGTTCTTAATCAATCCAAATCAAGTTTTGATCATCGTGAATAGCAGTTAAACCAGAAATTACTAGAGCATTGTTTAAATTCAATCCTTGTGGAGACGATAATTGAACTATACTATCTTTGGCTAGCGAGCATCAATTTCGTGTTGTGTTTTGCGCTCGTCACATTAGCGCACGAAAAATCGAAAAAACGTTCTGAATTCCTATTGTGTCGCTCTAAAATGGAAAAAATGAGGAATAGGCATAGCGAAGCAATGATTATTGCTAATTATGTCATTTCTAAAGGGTCCACAAAATTTTAAGCCATTCGGAGCCCGTCGCCCAAAATCATGAAGATGGCATGGACATTTAGCATACGAAAAATTAAAAAATGTCATGAATTCCCTTTTAGTGCCCAAAAATGCCAATAAATGATGAATTGCTCATTATGTCATTTATGAAGAGCCTAGAAAATTTTAGGCGATTTGGAGCCCTTCACCTGAATTCATGAAGATTGCATGGACATTATCATACGAAAAATCAAAAAATGTCAAGAATTCTTGTTTTATGCCCCTAAAATGCCAAAATACGAGGAACAATCATGGCGAAGCTATGACTATCGGTCATTATGTCGTTTCTAAAGGGCCCAAAAAAATTAGGGGATTCGAAGCCCGTCACCCGAATTAATGAATATGGCGTGGACATTAGCACACGTAAAATCAGAAAAATGTCTGAATTACTATTTTATCGCACTAAAATGCCAAAACATAAGGAATGATCATGGAGAAGTATTGACTATTGCTCATTATGTTGTTTTTGAAGGGCCCACAAAATTTTAGGTGATTCGGATCACGTCGCTCGAATTCATGAAGATGGCGTGGACATTAGCACACAAAAAATCAGAAAACATCCTGAATTCCAGTTTTATGGCCCTACAATGCCAAAAAAATAAGGAATGGCAAGGAAAATCAATGACTATTGCTAATTATATCATTTCTAAAGATCCCACAAAATTGTAAGCGATTCAGAGCCCTCACCCGAATTCATGAAGATGACGTGGACATTAGCAGACAAAAAATCAAAAATCATCTTGAATTCCTGTTTTAACGTCCTAAAATGCCAAAAATGAGAAAGGGGCATGGTGAAGAAATGACTATTGCTCATTATGTAGTCTGAAGGGCCCACAAAATTTTAGGCGATTCAGATCCAGTCGCACACGAAAAATCAGCAAACGTCCTGAATTCCTATTTTATGGTCCTAAAATGCCAAGAAATGTGGAACACTCATGGCGAAGCATTGAATATTGCTCATTATGTTGTTTCTGAAGGGCCCACAAAATTTTAGACGATTCGGAGCCCGTCGTCCGAATTCATGAAGATGTCGTGGAAATTAGCACACGAAAAATCTGAAAACATTCTGAATTCTTGTTTTGTGGTTAGGCGATTCGGAGCCCGTTGCCCGAATTCATGAAAATGGCATGGACATAAGCACACGAAAAATTGAAAAATTGAAAAACGTCATTAATTCCTGTTTTATGGCCCTAAAATGCAAAATAACATGGAACGGATGTGATGAAGCAATGATTATTGCTCATTATGTCATATTTGAAGATCCCACGAAATTTTAAGTGATTCGGAGCCTGTTGTCCGAATTTATGAAGATGGCTTGGATATTAGCACACGAAAAATCGAAAACGTCCTAAATTCCTATTTTATAGCCCTAAAACGCCAAAAAGTGAGGAATGGGCATCACAAAGCAATGAATATTGCTCATTATGTCACTTCTGAAGGGCCCAAAAAATTTTAGTCGATTTGGAACTCATCAAGATGGCGTAGACATTAGCGCACGAAAAATCGAAAAACATTCTGAATTCCTATTTTATGGCCCTAAAATACTAAAAAATAAGGAACATACATGGTGAATTAATGACTATTGCTAATTATGTTGTTTCTGAAGGGCCCAAAAACTTTTAGGCAATTTAGAGGTTGTTGCCCGAATTCATGAAGATGGCGTGGACATTAGCACACGAAAAATTAAAAAAT